GAAAATTGCCGTGTTCGTGTATCATGCTGTACCGGTGCTTCATAATTTTTACCCTTATCTTGTCACCATTAGGTATTTTAACCCACTTAGATGGCCTTTTGTAAGGTCTACACCTATCCAGAATTTTCAGACTATTTAGCATATGATAGCTAGCTCTAAAATAAAAATTCCATTCATATGAGTTTAAGTCAATATATAAACCTGGCTTAGTAGGTACTATGCTTACTACAACCCCATTTGAATTCTTCTTTAACATCTCCAATATTTGCTTGTATTGTTCAAAGGTGAACATGGAGATCTAGTATTTGTGTCATAAGCATTTGGGGAAGAATTTTCGGTGGAGGTGTGATTTGCTCGATCATCTTGGAATTTCTTCCTTTTGTTTGAAAATTAGGAGGGGGAAACCAATTAATTGGAAGCATTGATGACGTTAGTGTCCCTTCTGATGGCGATGTGTACACTCTTCTTGAGAACATCTTCTTCCTCGCCCTCTGCCATGGCTGCACCTTCCCCTCTTGGCGTATTAGTGGCGATCATTGACCCATCAGATTAACGGAAATTCGAACCACTACAGAGTATGCTTGATTTGCATTAGGTAGGGGATTCATTGGAGGATTTAGCTTCTGGTTTGATGGAATGTATCATTTAGCCCCATCAGAAACTAAAAAAGCTGGTGTTCTTGCATCACTGTACTGTATTCTTAGGAAGAGGGGCACTAGCAAGTTGGGATGGGAACGAGAGTGGCAAACTCATCCCAGAGCTCTTTCTACTTCTTGTAATAAACAAAAATAAACATAGTGCCTTTGGAGAAAGAATTGATAGAAAGATGAAATGAGAAAATTCTTACCCCATCTACTTTTGTCAAAACGTTCTTGAGGTCTTGCTAGACAGAGTGGGAGTTTCGGGAAAATGCTATTCAATTGGTGATCTCTTTGTTTACAGAATTTGTGATCCAACTACATTGCAGCGATTCCATTGAGTTCAAAGGTCAGGATTGTCTCAAACGTAGTTTATTCTTGACCAGAAGCGCAATTCTCATGGCTTTGTTCCAGATGGGATAGTTATCGTAATCAACCAAGACTTTGGGAACAAGTATTGATGCCACAGTGTTCCATGGATGAAGGAACAGAGGATGGCTGAAATCCAACGATGCAGATGCAACCTTAGTGGAGTTGCCAGAGCCACCCATGATAAACAATCAGAAATGCAAACAGGAAGAACAAGAGAGATCTATCAGCAGAAGCGATATGGACAGGTTGATAAAAATAAAGGAGATCGTGAAGCTGCTGCATGATGTCCTCCTCAAAAAACCAAGAAGCCAATGGGCTAATACAGTGAGGGTGCTTAGTAAGACAACAACAACAAAACTCATCAGAGAAGAAGAGCATGGTAGAGATGAGATCGAAGAGACACCAAGAATAAAGATGGAAAGAGGGGGTTAAGGCGAGGAGCTGAAGAATCGAGAAAACAGGCACGAGCTTTTGATTGAAAAACCAAGATATGAGTTGGACTTCAGGTGACTTGGTACCCAACTCCTAGAACCACCAAGGGTTCTAGTACCATGTTAAATGGGCAGCCCAATGCGTTGAATGAATAATTAATACAATCAATCTAGGCCATCATATATTGGTAGTGTAAAGGAATGGAAACAAAAATAGAATAGGAAGATGTACAAAGTATAAAATGTTACACCTACATACTATTCCCATATTGATACATGTATATGTATCCAATATATCAATACTTTTATTTTTAAAAATATAAAATATGATATGCTTTCTACATGTGCATGCATGCATACACATAAAATAATCACTAAAATATAAAAAATATAATTTTAATTAAAAAAATCCAAACTAACATACATATATAGTCCTCTATAGTATTATCAAGTAAAACATAATTATTAATTATACTTTTATTACGTCTCTACTTAATTGCCTACCGTCCAATCTCTACTGATAGTTCCTTACTTAGGGTTTATATGTTAAAAGATTATATTCCTATTTTTTTATAATAAAAAAAATATAAATTTTATCCTTTTATTATATCCAAAACTTATTTTTAAAGAAAAACTAACTTTGACTTTAAAAGCAAATCACAAAAATATATTAGGAACAAAAAAATGTTAATAATGAAATATTTAAAATTTAATTCCTTAAAAATAATATTGAAATATTGGCTTTAAAATATCAATATCATAATCTAGAAGTATTGACTACATATTAAAGATAAAAAAAATTAATATTAAAAAATAATAATTCAATAATCTACGGATATGTTTTGAAGAAGTATCAATATGTTACACAATATCAGTATGGATACATAAGTCAATTTAAAGTATTAGTGCTTCATAAATTATTCCTTCCAGTCCCATTTATAGGGCAGAAAGAAATTTTTTTATCCTATTTATAAGTTATATCATTAAATTTTCATCATAATTTTTTTCTTTTATCTTTTATTGAATGTTAGAAAGAAAAAATATATGGGTTAAAGGAAAAATCTACATAAAAAGTAGTCAGCCAAGGGCACCCAGTATCATAAAGTAAGGAAAGGAGCATAAATACCCATAACGCTATATGAGTGGGTGCAGAAGTGACCAAACCATTAACTTTATCCTAATAGCATTAGCTTTCAGTATTAATTGCTAACTATGCATGCCACATATTAATCTTCACTAACATGGATTAAAAAAGGAAAAAATACCAACGAAATGGTCAACCAAGAGCATCCAGTGGCTTAAAGTAAGAAAAAAGGGCAAAAATATTTATAATTTTACTATAGTTAGTGCAAAAGTGACTAATTCATCAAATTCCATAAATGTTGACTGTTTAGCTGACATTTAAGTAAAAGTTAACTATTTTTCGCTAATGTAGATAAAAAAAATACTACTTTAATAGATGCAATAGTGACTAATCTGTCAAAAATTGAGATTCAACACAGTGAGATAGGTTGTAAATAATTAAAGGTTGAGACTAAACACACCTCCTACGCCACCCTACCTTAAGAACAATGTTAAAACCTTAAGCAATTTCATTCATAACAAATTCAAAATTTTTAAATAGTTTTCACCACTACTACAAAGAAGTGAGTTATTTAATTTGATGTTCACTTAAAATGACATTTTCTCACATAATATTCATACAATGACTAATTAACTTCTATAGAATTTCACTAGAGAATATTTTTTATCTACGTCAGTGAAAAATGGTCAACTTTTGCTTAGGTGTTAGTTAAATAGTCAACACTTAAGAGATTTAATGAATTGGTCACTTTTACGCCAACTCTAGTAACATTATGAGTATTTTTGCCCTTTTTTATTTTAGGCTATTGAATGCCCTTGACTAATCATTTCGTGGGTATTTTTACCCTTTTTTAGTCCACGTTAACAAAAACTGACATGTGGCATGTATAGTTAGCATCTAACATTAGAAACTAACGCTATTTTATCAAAGTTAATGATTTGATCACTTATGTACCCACTCATATAATGTTATGGGTATTTATGCCCCCTTTCTCACTTTATAATACTGAGTGCCCCTAGATGACTACATTTTGGTGTAAATTTGCCCTTTAACCCAAAATATACTGTTAAAGTATATATATTTAATAAGGATAAAGTTAAAAATTTATTAAATTTTTTGACACAATTAATAAAGTTTAAAGTTTTTCTTAATTTTAATAAAAATATGTTGAAAATAACTTATAAATAAAACTGGAGGAGTACAACATAATATTCATAAACTAATTATTCTCAATATGTATTTCATGTAATAACTTTATAAATGCAACATTTGTAGTGGTTAACCTAGTTGCTCCCTTCATTTCTATATATAAGAGAAAAAAATTATATCACACAATTTAAAAAAATTAATTAACTATAATAATTATATCTAAATATAAAAAAATGAACTAAAATATCCTGTGTTAATTAACGTAACTATACATTAATTGTTTTTTATTAATATAAATTATGAGGGGTGATTTAAAGAATGTGTAATAAATGTTTATTGGAATGAGTGATTTTACTTGTAAAAAAATACAAATTAAAAGTGATATTTTCTCTAACAACCAAAAACGAAGAGAGTAAGTCAAAATTTGACTTGGGTGCACCTTATTGTGAAGCAAATAAGAATAATAGTTCACCAAAAAAAAAAAAGTAAAAAAATCCTACTTTAAATTTCGCCTCAATTATTTTACGCACATATAAAAATTATAAAGAATCAGACTAATGATAATTTTTTTGAAAATTTTATGAGATAAATTCTAAATATTATAATAAAATAATTAAATTACATAATCTTTTCCGCACATTAAAAATCAATGTAATTCAGTCTTTTTGTTACGTTTTCCAGTAGAAAATAGTGATGATGATGATGAAAGGCTTTCATAGATAAACCGAAATTCTCATCCCAATTTTTCCTCCCAAGGCTATTCCATATGATGATTATGGGTGCCACCAAATTTTTAAGGGAGTATGATAGCAAAGTCTCAAAAAATTAAATTTATGATAATTACGTCATAGACAAATTTTTTGAAAAAATTAATTATAAATATTAATTTAAATAGTCATAAATTCAGTAGTTCTAACTGCAAATAAAATATTTAAATGTTAAATATAATTCTCAATCTTATAGTTAGAATTCTCATTTGCAACTGTTTAAATTAATTTTTGTAACTTATTTTTTTAAAAAAATCGAAAATAACTGTCATAAATTTCCAAACTTTGAGACTTTATCGGTGTTCTCCCAAATTTCAAGTGTATGAAACAAACAAAGAATTATTTATTACTTATAATTCTGGAACAAGTTATGCCTCACATGTCACCGAGGAAAACAAAAACTCATTCGTAAATTTCAATGATAAGTTAATCACGCCACATTCCTGAAGCAATTGAAAAAAAAAAAAAAAAAAACACAGAGAGAACAGTTTCATTGATAAGAAAACCCAGAGCCGGAGGGCACCATTCCCTATAAATATTGGAAGTCGAAACCCTTGAATGTAATTCAAGAAAAGTTGCCGTGTTTTCTGAAACGAGAGAAACAAAGACGACGATATGGCTTCAACCAACCTTCAACAAACATATGAAGATTTCAAGCCACTTGTGGAAGAAAAGGACTCTCCAGATGCTCTTCTTCTGCTTGTTCATCTTCCTGGTGCGTGTCTTTATCTAACTTAATTGAGTCTATATTTTCGTGTAATTTTCATTATTAAGAAAGATAGATACATACATATATTCCCTAGGCATTTTTAATCGAATCTCACCTTCAATAAACTAGTTATTTATTTTTAAAATAACTCTATCTTTTCATATTCACACCTATCAAATACCTTACAATAAATATAAAATTATTAGCACTTTTGAAAAAAAAATGTAATAATTATACTTTGGAAGGCTAAAAATGCCTTACATTTTTTAACATCAAAAAATATTTTATATTTTTAAACGGATGGAGTATATAGCATTTAGTGAAGATATAATTAAAAAGATATATAATAATTTTTTTAAAAAATTAATATTTCAACTAAATTTTTTTAAAATTGTAAATATGTTGTCAAATTGTATATATAAATATACTTCTTTTGTTTTTATATATAAAATATTTTTAATCAAATCTCACGACTAATAATATCAATTAATATTATGGTGTTAGTGGATAAAGTACAAAATTAATCTCTTCTCTTTTTTGAAGATAGGGTCAAAATTGTCTAATTACTCAAATATCATGATACCCCTTATATTTAGAAATAAATAAATTTCTAAAAAATAATTTACATTACTTATAATGCATGCCATACATTGATTTTGAAAGTGAAGAATGAAATATGATTACCTAAAAAATAATAATGAAATATTATTATTATGCGAAAGCTAAGAATTTGTTTATATTTTTGGCATCTAGAAGAGGTATGGTAGATTTAAAAAAAAAAAGATTATCCAATATTCTCCTCCTAGTTCCTATCTATATAAATCACTTTCTTAAAAAAATTAATAATCTTTTTATAAGTTATTTTATTGAAAAAAGATACTCCCTCTGTTCAAAAATACAAAGTATTTTTTAAAGAGTTGAATATTAAAAAATATAATATATTTTTAATCTTTTAAAGTTTAATCATTAACTTTTTTTTCAAAAGTACCTATTAACAATGACTTTATATTTATTGTAAGGTATTTAATAGAGGTAAATATGAAAAGATAGGATTAGTTTGAAAGTAAATAACTATTTTATTAGAGTAAAATTCAATTAAAAATCTCTTATATTTTTAAACGAAGGGAGTAAATTATTAATTATTTTTTTTCAATTTTACCCTTTCATATTTTTCTATAGATAGGATCAGAAATTGTATGAGATACTCCCTCTACTCCACCATATAGGGCAATAGTAAATAAGAGAAATACTTAGACAAAACAAATTCATCACATCATTTATGATTTGTTTAATTAAAATACTCCAAATAATCTAAAAAAAATCTTGTGTAACATTTTTAAATTAATTTATTTTTATAAAAAAATGTACATTTAATTTTTTATTTTTCTCTCTTTATTATCATTAATATCAAAATTAATTTATATTTAATATCATCTAAATGTCATATTTTTATTAGACAAACCATGAATGATGTGATGCACCTAATCTATTAAAATATTTCTCTTGTCAATGATTATAAAAAAAAGTTAGCTCAAGCAATGATATTTTAAAAAATTATACATCTTTTTAACTATATATTCATTAAATGCCTTGTATGCATTCTATAATAACAATTGAAATTATGAGATTTCTTTTAATTATTAAATATTTTACACCCAACTAATCACTTAGTAAAATGATCTTTTATGTACAAATCAATACAAAATTGGATTCCAATATTCTTTTAATACAACTCATTTCCTTGTTTTTTTCTTTTAAGAACAGATTGGTGGAACCATTATATTTGTTTACATTAACTACTAATTAATAGTTTTCTCCAGGTTTCATTAGAGAACAAGTTGGTGCAACCTTTGAGGCAGACTCAAGGAAAATTAGGGTTTTTGGTGAAAAACCACTTGCCAATAATAAACGGCAACGTTTCAAGGAAGAGTATGTGATTCCAGAAACTTGTGACAGTGATAACCTCAAAGGAAAATTTGAGGGAGCAGTTATTACTATTACAATGCCAAAGAAGCCAAGTTCAAGTGTCATTATTGAAGAACCAAAACCAGTTCAAGAACCAGCCAAACAGGTCACTCCTCCAACATCTACTTCTGGGGTTGAAAGTGATAAAGATGTCTCTCAAGAACAACCCAAATCTGAATTGGAGAGCAGGAGAGAATCTGATCAGAAAAAAGATGAAAGACCAACCCCACCAGAAGCTACTGGAGAATCTAAAATGCCTCAAAAGTATGCAGAAGAAATTCCAGCAAAAGGTACATTAGATGATGAACGAGACAAAAAGCATAGGGATGAGATAAAGAAGACTGAAGAAACCCCACAAAAAGCCAAAGGCGAATCTAGAATGCCTCAAAAGTATACAGAAGAAATTCCGCCAAAAGGTACGTTAGACGATGAGAAGAATGAGGAAAACCAGAGAGCTGAGAAGGAAAGGATCCAAAAAGAAGACAATAAGAAGACTTCAGACGCAGGGAAAGCACCTCAGAAGGTTCAGACTTTGGCCAAAGAAGCAAGCAAGGAAAAAGGAAAAGAATCTGCCATGGTTGCTTCCAAAAGTTCTGGCTTGAAAACCCCTGAGAAGAGGGAGAAAGAAACGGATGTCAAAACCCATAAAGTCAATAAAAGGAACTATGGAACAAAAGAAAGTGAATCGCCAATAGGAAAAGGCTTCAAGAATATAGCTAACTCTGCTTCTCAAGCCATAACAAGACTGGCGGATGGGTTCAATGAAGAAGATAAACAGAAGCTGTTATATGCAGGTGCAGCAATTCTGATGGTGGCTGTAGGCATTTATGCTTCCTTCAAGCTTCGTTCCACATGAAGCCAATAGACAAAAGAATATCTACTTCCTCTGACATGATTCTGTACAAAAGTTCTACCCAATAATCACATCTAAACATGCTGTAAAATAAGCAGGCCAACTTCTAGTGACTTCAAACTTAAGTTGACCTGCAGGTCCGTTTAGCCTTGAACATGGTATAAATTGATGTAACCAATAATTGAAATATTTGATCATATGGAAGTCCTCAAAAACAATTACTGCGCAAGAAACTACTAAAGCACTGTTTTCGTCCATAAAATTTGATCTGAGTTTCAACCTCATCAAAGATTTATCTACGTCACATTCATCCTGCATTATTGTCAAATGTTTCAGTGCTTCCCAAATCAATCAATTAGGCCATAATTCATTCAACTGAAGTGACAGAAATTGCATACCTGCTATTTCATGTGTCCAACTTGTAATTTGATGGGGCACAAACTTATCTGGTGATAATTTCATCTTATAGCCAGTGACTGTATGAAGGAATGGACATACCACCTTTTACTAGACCCGCCTGAACTAAGGGGAACAGTAGGGAGGGGATAGACAAACAAAGCTACCCAGATGCTAGAAATATTAGAAGCGGATAAAAGAAGTTAACAATAAAAAGAAATTATCACGAAACATCTGATGATATTACAAAAAAGAGGAAAAAAAAATTATGCTGTCATTCATCAGAAAGTTCATCACCAAAGAAACTGTCACCATCATCCTGATCAACAAAAGATTTACTTTTAGTCTTTGAAGATTTACTGGATTTTGAGGGTTTCTTGACTTTTTCTGCCTGCAATTCCAGCCCCTTCTCTGATGGTTTTCGCTTTCTTTTCACATGTGTTCCTCCTGCATCGTCTGCAGAAGAAAAGTTCAATGCTACATGGAAGTCATAGATTCCCAAGAAAAAAGCAAACAGACTTCTTTCATTATTCAACCTTAAGGGTAATAACTGCCAATGACCTAGATTTGTGCAAAGGAGGTAACCCCCTGCCAGCATGGAATAAGAAAAGGGGAAGGAACCAAAATTCTAACATAGCCCCACAAAACAAAATCGCAAGAAAAATTTAATGTGGGTTACTGATTCATTTCAAATTTGGTGTTCTTTTGAATCAAAATAAGTCACACTCATGTGCTGCAAGGCATGATGTTACCCTCAAGTGGACTTGATGCATGGTTCATATGTCCATTTGGTCCAGGCTCTTCTGAAAGAGGGGATCCAGAATTATTACTGTCCACCAGCTTCGAAAAACTTTCCAAGCACTTGTCCTGCTGCTCATCACGACTAGGAGTTGCTGGCAAGAAGCAGAGCTCTTCCTGAGACATATCAGAATCACTGAAAGCTTCGTCTTTTTCCACTGTCACAATGTCAACTTCCTCATCCTCATTAACATCAGATGTTTTCACCTGCAAGAGTAATATGCATCAGGGAATTAAGAAAACATCAGAGTAGGGAAAGAAAGAGATAACCTGCATGATACAAATCCCCTCATACCTTCTCAGTCTCAGGAATCAAATCAAACTCATCTTCTCGTTCCACATACTCCTCATTTTCCTCAAGCTCCTTGAAATCAGGAGCAAATGCACTCCAATTCTCAGTATAATCTTTAGCCCATATATAAACCAAGCCAGCCAGAGAAACAGATACAATAATAGGTCGAACGGGATGCCAAGCTAAATCAATAAGGGCTTCTTTAGGTCCTTCAAGGATCTTCACAAGATGGCCAGCTCTATCCCATATGTAAATCTTGTGCTCTCCTTTGCTAGCAGAACCACCAACAACCCATTCACCATCACCACTAAAGCAGGGGGCTTTCCAGTGCACCTTTGTGATGGAATCTTGAAACTCACAGAATAAATTTAAACATTTAGATCCAACAGTCTTCAACTTTTCAACATCACTAAGATCATTGAGGTTCTCATTTAGGTCATAAAGGGCTCCAATTTCTTCTTTCAGGGGCAGAAGGTTTTCATAAACCCTGATTATTCGATCATTTGAATTTGTGAGTAGATACTGCCCATTTCTGCTGAACACTATGCTCTTGACCACAGAACCACCAGAGATAGGAACCATGGCACGCACTTCATTACCTTTATAGTCAATTATAAGAATCTCCCCCTTTGAATTCCCCACATAAACTAAACTCCCATACTTATTGAAACATGCAGCAGTTGGGCTGTAGGGGGTAGATCCATCAGAGCTCTTGTTGCGTGATGGAGCAGTTGACCCATTGCCTATGTCTGGGACAGAAACTTTAAGTAAAGTTGTGTTTCCCGTATTCAAATCAACAATCATGGGAGAACATGAGACAGGACATGCCAAGCAAAGAGATGGATTAGAGGAGCCAGGATGAAGACGGGCTTGTAGAGGGGTTTGTTGTAAAACTATTCGCTTAATCTTCTCACCGCTCTTAACGTCCCACAATGTTAATGACTTATCAGCAGCAGACACAAGAATTCGATGACCATACTTGGACCAACATATACTAGTAATGGGAGAAGAACATTCATAATCCGAAGCTCCTTAGCAATTCCCCTGGTTTCAAAATCCCAAATAATGCAACTTCCATCATTGCACCCAGCTGATTCAGAAGAATAAATCAAGAATCATAGTTAAAATCAACATTACAATACATATTCACAACATTTCAACACTTGCCACAATATATTTCAAACCCCAAACAAACTTTTTTCAGACCCAAAAAAAAAAAAACCAATTCACAACACATACAGAAAGAAAAACAAAAAAGTTGTGAACATAATCTGCTCAAAATGCTTTCTCAAGCAATATTTCATTTCAACTCGATAGAACTTGGTTTTCCAGACAGAATATCTCCAGCACAATACACCTAGCCAAATCTCACGGTTGCTTAGATTAAATGGAAATGAAAAAAGAAATGGCTTAGCTCAATTCATCCTTTTTAATAAAAACATTAGAAGTTTCGAGCCATCACATAATTGTAAACTATGCACTCTAAACCCACCATAAGATAAGAAAAAGTGACACAGTCATGTAGGGGCAAGCTACTCCTTCATAAACAGCAAGGTGAAGCCAAGAATTTGATCACAAAACCCCTTGCACAATTTTCCTAAACAGCTTGACATGATTGTAACCACTTTAGAAAGTACAAGAGTTGGAGTTCACCTTCAATGCAAGGAATACATCATCAACATCACATCAAGCACGTTGCCAGACCGAGATGTAACTACAAATCAGTATGACTGACATTATCTTACACATCAACCATGCAACAGTCAAAACAAGAGGTTGTTCAAAAAAGATAGAATCAAGAGTTGCAAGCTTCTATCCTTTAATGCCCACTCACCACCACCTCATATAACAATATTCGTTTCCCATGTCTACAAAAACATTTTTATCGACTAGTATCACCAAAACCCTCTTTCCCAATATCATCATCCCATGGCCAAACATATCAACAGCAACCCCAGCTCTCCTTATTTTCAGGAGACCAACTTGCACTGAAGAATTAGCATTCGTTATCCATATTCTCAATTACCCAACCAGGGAAACCATTTGCATTACATTGACAGGACAACTTAAGTCAATCATGTAAAATGTTTATTTTATTGTTTCCTTCTGTTAAAGTCCAAGCACAAATCTCAGTACAACATTTTAAATTTCTTTAAGAAAAGAAAAGAAAAGGAAAACTTCACAAGGACCAGTAATTGGCAAGTCCTAGATCAACAAGGTCCAGTATGCTATAAACAAGGAAACAAATAACTTACTATGTAAACCATACTCATTTCGACATGCCACCACACCAGGTAGGCAGGGATCACTGCATTAGTTACATGCACGAGTTTACAACTACTGTAATTTAAAGTGTCATCATGAAAAATATAAAAATGTCCATCCACACAAGCCACATGCCCAAAGTGATAGCTCTCTTGCCAGACTAGCCCAAAAGGGTAAGTTTAATTCATACATGATTTATTTTTTAAGTGAATTCCTTGTGTAAAACATGAAATAATGACGATCTCTTATAGTGATTTGTCTTTCAAGAAAATCGAAAATCGTTCTTTTTTCTTTTGGGTTAACAAGAGGAAAGGAATTTGCCGCTCTCACTCCCCTACAATACCCCGCAATGAATATAAGAGAGCTACTCCCTGCGGAATCCCATGATCTAAAGCAGAATATATGCAAGAACACATTTTGAATGGTCCACAAGGACAAACTTTGCAGGGAAATGTCGGGAGAGACATCAAAGTTAGAAGCCTAGAAAAGGGGGAAAAACATCTATAAACTTAGTAAGTGAACAATGAAAGTGAAAATTACCGGCAAGAAGGGTACCACGACGATTGAACGCAATACATTTCATACACCCATGCTCCAGATATTCTTCAATCACTTCTGGGAAATCTCCCTGCAATGGATCTTCAAAATGCAACAGGATTCATCAAAAACAAAGCCAGGAAGAATCTGTCACCAAAATATAACGAGTTCGGGGGAAAAAGATAATAGGGCTCTTTTGAGCCCCGGAAGAGAGCAAGAAAAAGTAGAAGAAAACCAACCGATAATGGGGGCGTCCATGATTGCAAAAAGATGCTCAAGATGCGAGAGACTCGGCTAGAAGCAAGAATATTGCACGGATAGAGACCAATTGAATCTTTCAAATTCGAACTGACATGACCCAACACCACGTTCGAGTATGGAGGTGAGCAAGGGAGGGAGGGGGAGAGTAAACTCTACTCTCACTTTTTCTTCTTTCGGGCAAACTAGAACAAACCCATATACAAGATTGCAGCTCGGACGAAGAATTAAGCGCGAGTTTGAAGCTCACAGATGAGTTCGATTGCAGCGTTAGGGATTGTGTTCAAATTGCAGGGCGAAGGTCAAGGGGATGAAGCGCGCCATGAAGAATGAAGGTTGGACAAAAATTGAAGAGGGATTGCGTTCGATTGCAGCTCGGAGCCTCGGACGAAAAATGAAGCTCGAGTCTGGGGTTTAGAGATTTCAAATTGGCGCTGTTGGAGTCAAGAAACGAGGATTCGAAGGGAAGACCTCACCGATGATTTGCGCTACCAGAGAGTGGAGAGAGGATAACGGATAATGAACTTAAAACAGCCAATGGTGCGTTTTAATCGGCTGAAGCTTTCTTTCAGTAGCACTGTCTTAATATTATATAGATAAATAAAGTAATTTTATTTTTAAATTATTTATTTGACAAGCAAAAAAAAAAAAATTACTATTTAACAGTCAATTTTGTCATTTTTTATTAATATAGCATGTGGGTAGGTAATAATTGGTAATGTCTTTTTATATTAATTTGCCTTTTAATTTTTTTTTTCAGAAGCATTAAACATCTTAAACTTTTCTTTTCTAAAAGCATTAGGTATCATGAAATTTTATTAAAATAAAATTTAATAAATATTATTAAAATATTAAATAATTTAATATTTAATAATTTAAATATTATTATTTATAAATATTCATTCAAAATTTCTATATTAGTTTTGAAATATTAATAGCTCAAATTAATTTTTCATAAATTTATAGATAACTTGTATTATTTATATGTCAATCCTATTTTTAATATTAATTAAATTTCTTAAACTTTTTTATGCCATTCTCTATAATATTTTTAATAAACTAACATCTTACTCCAAAATATTACATTATTTAATTTAATATTTTAATATTTATGATATTTCATATTAAAAATAAAGGGAATGCATGTCCATATTAATGGATGAATTTTTTCTATTCATCTCTCAATTATTTTCTAGTTAAGTAATTTTTTTTGTAATACATTAATAGGATAGACGATATCTTTCAAATAAGCATTTTTGTTAGCACATTATTGGCCACATTTCTAATTTTATTCCTAATACTACAGCTTACAAATAGTATCAAATTTGGACAATGTAATATTTTTAAGGAAAATCATTAGTTTATCAAAAAAAAATTACAAAGAAGGACTTAAAAATTTAAAGAACTTAACCAATATAAAAATATAGGTAAGCTTTGACACGCATGAAAAGAGTAATGACCTAGGCATTGTAAAGTCCGAATCCGAATTGTAGAGTTATGTCTCAACTCAGACTTTATCATTTTACATCACACAACCAATAAATCAAAATTAGAGTAATAGTCCTTTATTTATTTTTAAATCAAGAGATCCGACTTTTCAAAATATATATTTAAATAAGAGAGCTAACGAAAGCGTAAACATAAACAAAGACTCAAAAACCACAACTTTTAAATTCTAAAAATGGGTCATGCGCCGCAGCGTACAACACATGCGTCGTGACATATGGCACAAAATCATATGCTCTGTTTCTAGCTGCATCATGTACCGCAGCAGGCATGTCATGCACGATGGTGCACTTGTCCAAATTTCTATTGTCATTTTGATCACAAAAATGATGAACTTTCAAAGCACACCATTTTTACGTTTAACATTTGATTGGAGTGATTCAAACACTCACACGAAGCTTACAACGTATACTAGCTAACAGAATAAGTTTGGACTCAATCTGACAATCCAATCTAAAATTGGACACCTCGAGTACAAAATTTTAATTTTTCTTTCAAAAACTTACAATCTAAGTGCTCAATTCTCATTCTTTATCCCATTAAATCACTTTGGGTTTGAACCAAGTCTAAAGGGACCACATACACCTTATTAATATCACAATATACATATAACACATCCATAGCCCATTTTGGCGTCTCAAAGCCATATCACACAATTGTAGTCTTATATGAGGAATCACATATATATAACACATAATCATAAATACAACTATAATTGTTTCACTTTCATTCCTCTGACTCTCACATATGAGGCTCTGCCTCACGATATGGTCGGAAACCACAAATGTACTCTACTTTTTCAAATGGGGCTCCACCTCATTATTTGTATCAAATTCTTCCTATTTGTGTCTAATTCTCACATAACAATACAAATCACATCCAATTCACATAATCAATCACAATTAACACATATACACATTAGCGAAACAAGTTATAACATTATATACTTGCTTGTTTCGCATTTAGGCCCACCCATGTACCTTCTACTGAGACACTCTCAACACAATGCAACATAATACACATATATACAGACAAGCTTCACAACACAACTCACTTTCTCATGTTCACATATATTTATGCATTCTAATTAGCAACTTAACTCTATTAACATATTATACATTTATTTCTATTAAAAGGTAGTCATAACACTATCAATCAAGACTACTCTTTTCTCGCTTCCTTTTCCGGCCTTCTTGTGCTCTCTTCACTATGTTCAAAAGTAACAAAGTGAGACATATGTCCCAATAACTCAGAGATAACCTCAATTGTTAGTTAGTAAAAAAATCATAAACAAGTAATAAAGTAGCATGTATATTTATAAAATAATAACATATGCATATAAAGGAATTCATTCTCACACATCTCATTATGCTCATGCAATGTATTCCTAGTTCTCCCTGGTAGAGTAATCTTTACACTTGGACCAAGACTTCCAGTCATAAAGAACAGAGCCCACCATACCACTACTCAAACCAGGTGATTTCTTTTCATATGGGTCGTCTCCTAAGTCCATCATGACGGAATCAAGCTCTACATTCTAAATCATCAGGACTTCTTAGCCTTATAAGAGTAGGACCCCGACCCTAACCCGTACCCTAGTCTAGGGTAACCTCGTGGATCATACAATATCCTAGGTTAGTCGTGGCGAAGTCAAGCTCTATACTTTGGATCATTAGGATTCTTCTCCTAGGTCCGTCCTGGCAGAGTCAAGCTCTATACTCTAGATCATCATGACTTCCTAAACCTCCTCATGGTAGGGCCACATTTTTCCCTACTATAATCTAAGGTATATTTCATTGATGTGATGCATGTCAATGCACGTGCCTACTTTAAATTCATTTCATTCAATACTCATACACCCGCATGCATATACTTTCACAATGTTACTACTCTATTGGTTCACAATATAATGCATGCAGTTATATTAAAATACTTACAAATAATTTCAAAAATAAATAAGTAAAAGGGTTACTCCAGTTACCTTTAACCCTTACTATTAAGGGTCACCAATCACACTAAGCTCCCAGTAGCGTAGATTCTCGTGAGCAACTTCTCAAGTGCTCAATCTATATAACATAGTGTCCCTCAGTCAATTTCCAACACATTCCACAAGCATTGATTCAGCTAAATCGAATCTCTTAACACATGAAATGGTTCAATTGAACCCTTTTCAATTCATTTATACATTATTTATAGCCATTAGCCCTATAGGCCATTTAAATAATCATAACAATCTCCTAATCCATTCATTCAACTAAGTTCATCCTATCGGCCTAACTTTTAGGCCATTTTGAGCCTAAATGCTTAAAGTTTAACTATTCAATTCATACTAGTCAAAAACCTTAATTTTGTATTTCATACCTCATTTTAAACCTCTTTTTTAGATTACAACACCTTAGAATCTCATAATTCAATTTCTCAACCAATAAAATTTAATGAAAAAGGGGTAGAATTGAAGCTTGGATTGTGTGATATTTACCCAGTAAGTTATTAATTGAAGCAAACTCCTGAGCTCCAACTATGACTTGCCCTAACAGAGATGGCTTCCTCTTCCCCTCTAGAAGCATCTCTAGCTCTCTCTTTTCTAATTTCATGAGCTGTTCATGTTAGCTTTAAGTGATTTTTGGATGGTACGTCGCGGCACATGCAGCTTCCGCCACGGTGCGTGGCATAGTGAGAAAATTCTCACTTATACTTGTATGTTTTGCCTATATTGTCTTTCTACCCTTCAGTTCTATCAATGCAATGCCCAAATAACACAAAACATCAACTCAACATCCAAATCACAATTAATTCCCTAATTATTAATTTACTCCTGATTAGCAACTAGTTTCGAGATTGAAATTTAGGATGTTACAAGCATTGTCTCTGAAAGAGGCTCAAAGATCGATGTAGAAAAAATAATAAGTCATTTATAAATTTATGAAAAAATAGTTTGAGCTATTAATATTTAAAAAATAATTTATAAAATTTGGATGAATATTTATAAATAACAATATTTAAATATATAAATATTTAATATTTTTATAATATTTATTAAATTTTATTTTAAGAAGACTTTCAGGTGTCCAATGTCCTAAAAAAAGACTTTATGGTGCCTAACACTCTTAAAAAAGAGTTTAAGGACAAATTAGTATTAAAAAACATAATCAAAATCTTAAATACTATTATGTGTGAGCTCCACGCACATGTCATATTAACAGAAAATGGCAAATTTAACAGCTAACTAATAGAAGGATTTTTTTCTCCTTGAAAAAATATTTAGGGAGAAATTGCCTCACTTATCAGTACAGAGTGCTCCTTTTTCAAGGATAAAAAAAATCTTAACCCTGAAAACAAAAAGAATGATAATAAAGTCCAAAATAGAGAATTTATAATAATTATCTCAAACCAAATTTTCAAAAAAAAGTTATAAATATTAGATGAAAACAAGAATTCTAATTACAAATTAAGAATTATATTTAGAATTTAAATATATTAAATACAATTAAATTCCTAAATTTATAATTATTCAAATCAATATTTATAATTATTTAAATCAATAGTTATCAATGATTTTATAAAAAATTTATTAATGACCTAACTATCATAAATTCATTATTTTGGTATTTTAATATCATTCTCCCAAGAACAAAAAAGGAGAATTGCTACAAAATCCCAAAGATATATCTATAAATTATAAAGATAAATTTATGGATATATAAGTGGTATTTTAAAAAATAAAAATTTTGAAGAATGGAAGATCTGAAAGAGTAGCTATATATATATATATATATATATATACTCATTGTTTATGGGCTAAGCCAAAGATTACATCGCTAACAAAGCTTTGCCAATAAATTTAACACAACTGCATACCCAACATTCAAATTAAAAATTATTGGTTAAGTTATCATAATCTTTTACCGGTTGAGCTACATGCTTGTTGTTAGAATAACTTGTTTTAATGTGAGGGAAAAACTATACATATAATTAGCTTTGTATACTTAATGTATTTGTTCTCAATTAAATTAAAATACGTGGATCT